AAAAAAAAAAAAAAAGATGACTTCTCTCAGGCCACATGGAAATAAATAGAAACCAGTAAAGAAAGGCAGCTGGAAAGTCCCTAAATATTCAGAGATTAAACAACATGTTTCCCAATAACACATAGGTCAAAGAAGTCTCAAGAGAAATTTTTAAATATTTCAAAACTGACAAAAATGAAAGTATAACTTATCAAAATCTGTGAGATGTAGCAAGCGCAGTGCTTAGAGGGACATTTAGAGCATTAAATGCATATATCAGAAAAGAAGAAAGATCCAAAGTCAGAGTGGTGCCTGTGGCTCAGGGAGTAGGGCGCCAGCTCCATGTACCGGAGGTGGTGGGTTCAAACCCAGCTGTGGCCAAAAACTGCAAAAAAAAAAAAAGAAAGATCCAAAGTCAAAGATCCAAACTTCCACATCAGGAAACTAGAAAGAAAAGAATGAACTAAATACAAAGTAGGAGAAGGAAAGGAATAAAGAGTAGAACAAAAATCAATGAAATTTAAACGGAAAATCAATAGAAAAAAAACCAAAAGCAGAATCTTTGAAAATATCAATATAACTGACAAATCTGCAGCCAGACTAACCAAGAACAAAAGAGAAAAGGTCCAAATTCCTGACCTCAGGGATGGAAGGAAATGACAAGGGCTGCAGCCTTGTGCCCCTGCCCAGCCCCCTGTGCAGACCTGGACACCAGTCAGTAATGCCAGTCAGTGCTGCCCACAGTTGTAGCTAATGGAACTAGGGCCAGAGGAGTGGCATGTGGATACTCCTTGTACCCAACACTCAATTCTTCTGCCAACATGCAGCTCCCCAAATTAATGTTTATTAACTAAAAAAGACAAGCAGTGAAGGCCCCTATCCACCTTCCTCAGAAAGGCCTTCCCATGTGTGGGGGCAAGACTGGGCACCTGAGTCCCCTCTGCAGAGTGATGGCCTCCCTGCCCTAATGCTGAGGGCCATCCAAGCAGGGCTAGCACAAGGAGCCAGCCGACAGGCTTCACGGCATGGAGACAAGGCCCTCAAGGAGACGAGAGTTCAGGGCAGCTGAAGGGAAGAAAGACAGGTGGAAACACGGAGAGAGAGGGAAGCCCGAGCCTGCCCCCCTCTCTTTAACACTCAGGAAGATTTAAAATCCAGATCTTGATGTGGACACGCGTCCATTGCAGGTGCTGGGGTTTTTCCAGCAGGGCTGTCTGGCAGAAACAGGTTGTCTGAAGACAGAATTCTGAGAAGCCTGGTCTTCACCCCAGCTGCTGGCTCTCATGATTTGGCCCATAGACGCAAGGCAAAAATGCAGCATCTCCACATCACTCCCAGGTGAATGTGGGCACCTGGGCTCTGTTGTGATTGTGTGCTGCCGCACGCCTTCCTGATGCATGGTGTGTAGGAGACTTTGATGCCAGCCTGCCCAAACAGGCTGGGCACCATGCTAGGCATCCCGGGAGCAGCACCTGCTCCCCTCAGAACGCAGTGGGGTCCGTGTGGGGAGGCAGAACCTGCCGCCAGCCCAGACCCTGCTTGCACCCTCACGTAGCTGCCTCATCCTGACACAGGCCCTCATGACAAGCTCTGTGCAATAAAGTGATTTACCAAAGACCTCTGAGAAACACCAATTCAAGGAGGAGGCAAGACATTTTTAAAATTGCTCTTTCCCCCACATCTGTGACTCACTGGTCCCTCACACTGGCCCAGTTCTGTGACACTTTCTTTCCTGATACATGAGTTTTCCTGCGAATTACAAAGTAGATGGAGTCAGGGACCCATATACCACATTCTACCTTCTGAAAACCATCAATGTGGCATTTCAGAACAAATGATGGCTGCAACAGAGAGCACGTCGCTGAAATTTTAAAGGTCAGTTTGAGCCTGGTGGAATCAACACTCCCTGTCCTGACTACTTTATGTTGGGCAAAGTTCAGAGCTAAATCGGCAAGTTAGGCACCCACAGGCACCAAGCCCCCTCCTACCCTTCAAATGCAGCCCATTCGGCCTTTCATAGCTCACAGATTCCCAGGAAAGGCCACAGCCAGGGTCAGCTGGAGAGGGCCTGGAAAAGGGAGGACGTGTCGGTGGGCACATGGTGCCTCACAGCATTAATCACAAAGCATCTGCCAGCCGTGAGACTAACGTTTGCTGTCCATATTTCCACCCTGTGGTGGTGGTGGTTACACAGTCCACAAGTGTGATAATTCTATACAGGTTATCACAGCAACCAAAGGTGGAAGCACCCAAGACATCCATCAGCAAATGGATGAACAAAATGTGTTACATACATGACCACACACACACACACACAGGAATATCAGTCAGCCTTTAAAAGGAAGAAAATTCTGGACTATCCTAAAACAGGGGTGTCCAACTCA